AAAATGAGTTTGACACCTTTGTAACTAGAGCATATGTCAAACATAAGGCACGCGGGCCAAATGTGGCCTGTAATTTGCTATGGCCCCGTGGGAGCTTAAAAATGTTCGCCTTATAACATTCATCATTCATTCATATCATCATTTGTCCTTCTGTCCTTGCCTCACAGCCCCCGAGGTGATCAACTCTGAACCTTTGACCACAGCGGCCGACATGTGGTAAGCATTGAATAACCACTGACTTTTCCTTCTTTTTACACTCTATATTGTGTAATTTGGCAGCCCAGCCGAAAGACAGTTCACCGCCTCCGCGCGAGAAAGAGATCATTCCTCTTTCACTAACTAACGTGTCGGCGCATGCAATTGGGTCGAGCATCACTTGTTTTGTAACAACAACGTAGCGTAATTAGCAAAGCGTCATAATTTAAATGTTACATTTTTTTTTATTATTACATGTTTTCTGTTTCCTTTTCCCCCTCAGGAGCATCGGCGTTATCACTTATATACTGTGAGTAGTAAATGTTTGTGCAAGACACTGCTTTGTTCTGTCAATTATTACCATCAGCCCTAACTGCAAACCACGGTTGTTTAAGTACTGTAGCCCTAATTCAATGATAGTGTCCAATAACCTAATCCAGTAGGTTTTGTCTGACTAAACAAGGAGTACAAGGAGAAAAGGTAGAACGTGCTGACACTAAACAGAAAGACAGAGAATCAGACTGGCACACGTCTTGCTGTAAAGCACTAACCCACAAGTGTGACCACATGTTAAGTTTCATGCGAACAGGGAAACAGAGGTGCACTGTTGCACCGGCTTCACTGCTGTGTTGATTGTTAAGTTGGTGTTAAAATAACATGTCACCGCCCAGCGTGTGTTTGTGGAGACGACTTCAACTTCAGGTCAGACCAGGTTCACTGAGGTGAAGGTAAAGAAACACTGGACGCATTCTACAAGCCACTGTCAAAATGCTTAGTATGGAGTGAAATCCACCAGCTCTCTGAAGCTAAAGTTTGAGTTCGGCTTGAGACTAAGGTTTTACTTTTTCCCTAGCATTTCATCATTTTGATTAGTCACTAGGGAATTGATCCAAATCCTGGATCTGTTGAGTCTGTTGACGAGAAAGTACGCCAGGGAAATCTTTGTCTGTATGTCTTACGAGAAAATGAGTGTGAAATCTACTGTGCCTTCTGTCCTCCTCAGAATAAGTGGTTTGTCGCCATTCCAGGGTGACAACGATGATGAGACTCTGTTGAACGTCCTGGCCACCAAATATGAATTTTATGATCAGTATTTCAGCAACACCAGCTCCATGGCAAAAGGTTTCATCGACAGACTTTTGGTCAAAGATTCCAAGTATGTGGAATAGGTACAGTATCTCACTTCAAAAAAAGTGTGAATTAGGAACGCGTAGAAATCACAGCAGGTTTCCATATTGCACTGTGGCCGAAAACTCTAGTGTGGCTGTAGATCAGTGATCGAAAGGAAGCGTCTGTTTAATGGCCAGTATATACTGTGCAATTTTGGGCTGTAGAAACGAGATATCTCTACGAACTGTGAGACGCGTTCAAGGAACGGTCGTTGTTAGCATCTTGCGACCGAAGGGAACCCAAGATAAAATTCTAGACGTCTGTCTAATAATCAGCCAATAGAAATGCAGCAAGAAATTACGATTACGATGCATAACCTGCAATTCAGTAAATGCTCATCGAACAAGCTGTGCACGTCATGGCAAAGTTTATTAGATCCACGTTGCGTAGTGTGTCGTGCGTAGGTCAAATGATCTGCTATTGAAAGAACGGATCAGGTTAGCGTGCTATAAAACTATTTGCATTCTTTTGAATGAGCTTGAAGATCTTCAAAAATTCTGTGCACAGGGGTCAAACAGTTGAGCGTAGCCTCACTAAATTATTGAACTACAGTAAATCATGAACAGTGTTCTCATCATAAAATACTAAAAGAGTTTGTTGTTGAGCCACATTTTATTTTAAGACCACGGGAATGCTTTAATGTCAGGAGCTAGGGACGGCCTAACGTTCTGGAGAGTTTTGTGTGTTTTCCAGTCTTCTGCATGATTTACTGTCTATGTGCTGTGCCGTACAAAGACAGAGAGAGACGGAGAGAAGAGATTTTTTTTTTATCGGTGTACGTAGAAGTAGCATCAGTTTAAAAATCACAGGATGATAAATACCGGATTTTCCGGAGTATAATTCGCCCCGGACTATAAGTCGCTGCGGAGTATAAGTCTCACCAGCCAAAACAGAAAATAAAAACTGCAGCTTACATGAGTAGCAGATACTGGTACACATGCCTAGAGTGCCCCCTAGTGGCTAGCTGTGTAAAAATAACGAACATTTCTATAATAACAATTCCTGGCAAACGCTTAACAGGATTGTTGTTCTGTCTGTTGCAGTGAAAGGATGACAGCTGAAGACTGTCTGCATCATCCCTGGATTAAGGTAACAACACATCCTCTTGTTGTTTTCGAGTTGTTGTGAAAGCCACTTCCTGTTTGATGTGCGTAACATCCTACGGTCAAGGGTTTTTACAACAGGCGCACGTGTCCGTGTCTGTTTTCAGCCCATCACACGTAAACAGATGGCCAGACGGAATCGATCTTCGATCAATATGAAGAGCTTCAAGAGGTTCAACGCCAGAAGGAAGTGGAAGGTAGGTGTGAACGTAGACAACGGGGAGGAATGAGGAAATGAGGGAACGGAATTATGACAAGTGCTTCTTGAATGAAACACGTTGCACAACTGGGAGACATTGTGTCATTTCCCGTACAGGGCCTGGCCCCACCTTAGACAGATCTACTCGAAACCTTATCGTGCCTAAAATACTCTTGTCTCTCCTTCATTGTCCGCCTAGATGTCCTATAACATGGTGCGAATGTGTAACCGCCTGTTCCAGGCGTGCAAAGGCAGATCCGATTCCGATTCACTACAGGTGAGACCAATTTACTCAGTTCAGATCCTAAAGAGAAGAGTTGTTTGTCTGTCTCCACTGTTCCTAGTTTAACTAAACTAATAAAAAACATAGTATATATGTCCGATAATATCGGCCAAATTATATTATCGGCCCAATATTAGCATAATTATGTAATATTTTTTTCGTCCGATAATAAAAAACCTGATAACGCAATACCTGAGTTTCGCCAGATGATGGCGTATATGAAAGTGAAATTGAATTACTGTCACTGATGGGCCACCACTGAGATGGCGTATATGAAAGTGAAATTGAATCACTGTCACTGATGGGCCACCACTGCCCCACTATATCGGTTGATATTGAAATCGGAAATTAGGTGATTAGACAATATCGGGATATTGTAAATCGGCAAAATGTAAATGTCCGACATTCGTAGTTTTAATTTAAAAACCTTAGCTAGGTACCTTAGGTTTACACTGTACCTTTAAGTGCCGGCAGTCTTTGTTGTATTTTTCCAGGTTAACATACGTCCAAGTCTATGTTCTTGTATTGAATGGCTGAATAAACTAACAGTTGTTGTCTGGTCACATTCCTCTACTCTAACATAATCACACAATGGGTGATTGAAAGGAGCAAGTCAGGTCATGTCTATTTGTGTATAGAAGGGTAGATGTGAACTACAACCTCAACTACTACTACTACTACTACTTCCTTCCTGAAGGGAACTCCCAATGAATCTATCTATCTAGCTAGCTAGCTAGCTATCTAGCTATTCAATTTCATTAAAGTGTGCATCACGTTTCCATTCATGTCCACTTCTCTGATCCTTTTTCTCCAGAGACAGTGTGAAAGTGATGTCGAGGACACGGAGACAAAGCCAGCCTCTCTCTTGCGGCGAAGGCTAAGCAGCAGTTCATAGAGCGGCGTGAGGTGAGAGACTGGTCAGGACTCCTTTACACGTTCAGAAGGTTCAAGTGGACAGACTGGGATGATGCCCAAAGGGGATTATCGGTAAATTTTTGTGTTGGTCAACTTATAAATTTGAAAGATTTTTAAAACCTTTTAATGCTGTGTGAAGTGATCAACCTGATGCTAGGTCAGAGGTTCCCAAAATGGGGGGTGGGGAAGGGTCAAGTGCCAATGCAGGGGGGGCGTGGAGGGAAAGAAGAAATGAGACGTACCGCAGCATATTGTCCAATGTTGTAAATGTAAACCAAGAGACAAAAAAAAGGCGGTGTAAAAATAATATCTGATAATAATATCAGATTACACACAAAAGCTCGCTTCTGCCAACTGACAAAAGTTAATTTTATGCTATCATTGCTAACAAGTTAGCAAGTTTAAATTTGTGAACTTAACGATTCTGAAAACAAAATATTTGTGTGGAGTCCTCCTGGGGCGGGTGAAAATGTTCTCATGAACCAAAGGGAGACCCAGCAGAGAACATTTGGGAACCACTACACTAGGTTTGTTTCTTTTGTTTAAATATAAACACTGCCAGGACTCGGTGTCGGCAGTGAGGCTCATCTGATGAGTATTTTTTTTTTTGCAGGGGAAAAAAAAAAACTTTAGAAAATAAACCTATGGGATGTGTGGACCTTGTTACTGAGACTATTTTATAACAATTTGCACAGAAACAACAATAACTTTATTTCTTGAGAAGGCCAGGAGAGAATATCTGACGTCCAAGTCTTCCATTTGTATGACATTATTGTTTGTGTTCAACATCTGCCAAATACAAACACTTGTAATAGGTTATATTACATTTAGTGTATGCATGTAACGTGTGTCAGTTTAACTGTTAGTCAAACTTTATGCAAAATAATTTCTTTTTTTAAAATAGGAAACCTGTGTCCTACTTTTTAATTTTCACAATTGTGTCTCTTAAGTGTGAATATTGTCTTCAAATATTGTAACGATGAGTGACTTTGATACTGTAATCCAAGGGTCCCCAATTCCTGGGCCGCGGACCGGCGCCGGTCCGTGGGTCAATTGTTTCCGGGCCGCACAGAAAGAATGCATAACTTACATTATTTCCGTTTAATTTATTAACAAAAAAAGTCAACAAACAAACAAACTTCTTCAGAGGGGTTTTTAAGGGAGCCAATGAGGAGATAGAAGAAGAGAATATGTCTTCAAAGAAAATATAATACTGTTAAATTTGTACTTTTAGATTCATCACGATTAATTGCTTATGATTACTCATAATTAGTCTAGGTAAATTGTGATTCCTAAATATGACAAAAACCTTTTGTGCTAATCCAAATTGTGGAATTATTCATATGAAGACAATTATATATTATTATAAATTATACAATTGTACCTCAAATCCGACCAAAAATATTTAATAACTAAGTACTTTATTTTCTTAGTGTTGGCGGATTTTAGTCATTGCGGTACATCTTGCCGTTGACTTTCAGAACGTGCTGAGAGTTGCTTTCGAAAGTTCGGTGAATGTCGTCCGTCAGCTAGTCAGTCGTAAACTTATTTACCACTCTACGTTTGATGAGGCTAGTCTGATGTGTCTGACCAGAAGTTGGGTTGGTTTTGGTGTATGGGGGCGGGGGCCCACTTGAAAATCTTGCTTAGGGCTCTCATTTGGCTAGGTGCGGCCCCTGGTGTGCGTTATTCTGCCCGTGTATACAAATGCGTCATAAATGTACACAAATGATTGATCTTGAATTATTGATGTTTGCACAAAAACGCTGACCTCTAGTGTCTAACAGATGCTGCATTTGTACACCGGCTGTACTTGATAACGTTAAAAAAACAAAAAAAAAAACGGATTTAATTTTGTACCCGCTTGTACTGCAGAAACGAGCTCAGACACGGAGTACTTCGTATAAATCCGACACACGTCTTCCCCCATTGTACTGCATTGTGCAATACAGCCTCATTGAGCAGTATTTTAAATGGCAGCAATCTGTGTTATGCAAGATTCATTACCCAAAGTACTTCCCTGCTCTTTTCATTCTGGAAACACTGAGGGTTAATGCGAGAGCTTTAAGGGTCAGAGGTCACGTACATTCAGCAGTTGACCCTGCCTTGCAACGACAGAGCTCTTCTGGAATATACTTTTCATGCTACATACATCGGAGTAGACCATGTTTATTAAGACAGACTTAAAAGTACTTGTGTTACTGCTGCCGTACAAGGACCAAACTTACTGATTCGTTACAATAGTAATATTCAAAACATAGTTACTATAAGTAAATGGTACTTAGTTTACAAGGTATGATTCCATAGCACCTTATCTGACCTGATGACCGCTCGACACATTTGCACTTGAAGGATGTGCCATTGACCTAAATGTTTACAACACTGTTGAAAATCAACAGTACTACCTCCTGAGCATGTACACAGACAAGCCCTCTATAATCGTCCAAATGATGGAACAGTATGCTAAATGTTTCATTTTGGGTTAAAACGTAGACCTTAAGATGAATTTTTAAAAGACACACACATAGAAATGATGACCAAATATTTTTTTGGACCTGTGTACCTAAGTAATTATTTATCTGTACTTGTGCGGTTGTTGAGCTTAGATATTGCTTTAAAAAGCCATATATATACACGATATTGCTTTAAAAAGCCATATATATATACACACACTTTTTTCCCCCGGACTATAAGTCGCACCAGTGCCATCTAGTGGTACATTTAAATTTTCAGTGGTACAGGAGTAGCAGATACTGGTACAAAAGCCTAGAGTGCCCTCTAGCGGCTGCCAGTGTAAAAAAAAATAACGAACATGTCGCATTATATATTTTAATATATAAGTCGCAAACCCAGCCAAAGGATGACTTATAGTCCAGAAAATATGGTAATCTGAAATCTGTTATCTTGTCGTCAAATGTTAGCCGTCGGTTTGTACAGGTAAGAGAAATGAGTCACAGACACAGCCGTAGACGATCCTCCTCGTTTTAACTGGTAAAGAGCTGCGATGAGAACCGTACATGAGATGTAGGTGAAAGTAAGAGTAAGCAAGGTAAACAGTAAAGGCCTGAACACAATAACAACAGCGGAGCACAATTACACATATTCAAACACAGTTGAGGAATGAGGAAATGAAGACGAGAAAAGGAAGGTGGAGATGAGGGATGCTCAGCAGACAAAGTGTGGGCTCCTGCGGCCGCTCCCTGACGGGACAGTGAAGCGCCAGGACATTTAACTGAAAACACAAGAATGCAAAAATGAATGATTAGGAAGGCACGATTTTGCATTTATGTGTTAAGAAAGGGAAACCAAAAAGGCACAAAATAACAACACTCAAAAGCAGTTAACCAGGTAAACAAATGAACAATAGGCGTCGTGTTTTTAATCACTTTTTATTGCTTATACCAGGCTTCGAGTTCCTATAATTTGACACGGGATCCAGGTCGGGAGCAGATAGATGGTGTGAACTAAGATAAATGACATGTTAAAGTCATGCATAAAGGCTAAAATGCTAAATTGCTTTTAGCATTCTACACCAGCTAATGGGGAAACGCAGGCATCGCAGGCCGTAGTTTGCCCATACCTGGTATTTTTACTACTACTACTGGTATTTTTTATATATTGACGCTAAATGCTAATTATGACACGTAAAGGTCATGCATAAAGGACAAAATGCTAAAATGCTTTTAAGCCTTTTCCACGCCATCTACTGGGGAAATTCAGGCATCGCAGGCCGTAGTTTGCCCATACCTGGCTTATACCCTTGTATGACAGCCTACTGGTATTTTTATATATTGACGCTAAATGCTAATTATGACACGTAAAGGTCATGCATAAAGGACAAAATGCTAAAATGCTTTTAAGCCTTTTCTACGCCATCTACTGGGGGAATTCAGGCATCGCAGGCCGAAAATGCAGAAGTATAATAATTTCATGTTTCACTGTAAGTTGTAGGACCATTTTAAAGCTCTGTAAAAGTAAACCCAATCAGATTTCTGGGCAGTGATGGTGAAATTAAAATAAAAAATTAAATGGTTTTGGAAATTAAAAAAAAAAGAAGTTGTTTTTTTTTTCTATTACTTACATAGATGTCATGTCATTGAGGGCATGGTCCAGTTCCTCACTGATGGCTTTGTACTTCAGTTTCTGTGCATACAGCTCATCTGTACCAAAGAAGGACAGGTGCAGAGAAAAAGAGGAAATGCTCATTTAAACGCTCGCAGAGTGACGGTGGTTATGTTCGAGCGTATGTACAGTACGTGTTAAACCTCACTTGATTTGTTACACAGTCATTCACTGGTTCACAACAACAAACAAACGAATCCTCTACCTTCAAGATCGTCGATCGTCTTCTCCAGCTTGGCAACAGATCTCTCAGCAAACTCAGCTCTGGTCTCAGCCTGGCAGAAAAATCCAAAACGTTACGAAAAGACAGAATTATTGTAGGTTTAGTTGAAGTTTCTTTTTTTTAGAAAAGAAACTGTGTGACAAGAAAAACGGGGTACTGAAAGAGGAAGTGGGCCTATTTTGGAAATGTTACATCTAACTTTTTTTTAAGGTGGACAATTTTAAGGATGTAAAAAGTACTTGAATGACTTTTCTTTAATTTTTGGTTTTCATCAGTGCGCTAAATAATAAAAATGTTAAAACAGATAACACTTGTCTTCTCCACATTCACGTCTCACCTCCTTGAGCTTGTCAGTCAGGATCTTGATCTCTTCCTCATACTTGTCCTCCTTCTGAGAGTACTGTAATTAAACACACCACGGTTTAAACATGCACTTATATAAAACCAATTTGACAGGTGAGTCTCAAACATCATCATCATAATACCGCACTCTGTACTCATCTACCGCACAAAATCTTTTTGAGAATACCGCTTATTGAAACACGTAGCATTGATGCTAAAATAATTTTAAAAAAAACATTTTATTTTAGAGATAATTTTACAAGGCTGAAAAAAGATTAATTTATGTTAAATTGTGTTGCTTGTACCAAGTTTGTTTGTAATAAATACATAGTCTTAAATATGTTTAGACTCTGTTCGTACAATGGAGGATTTGTGTAATCAAGACCTGCCCTGTATTTGTCTTCTATAATTTTTAATTATGACTTTATACATAAATGACCTATTAATTTAATTAATTAAATGTAATTCTGGTTACTGAATCTAAATATAGTTCTGTATTTTTATTTTGTTTTTAATGTATAGAAATGTTGCTTAGTTATATTGTGGTGTTTAGTTCTGTTTCCGGCTAGCTGAATGTTACACTGCCATCTAGTGCCATTGTTAAAATACTACTTTAAGTTGCATTGTTTTTTTTTTTTCTTTGTCTCAGCGTCACCTTAATTAAGTTTAGTTTAAGCGATTCAACGGTTTTACGTCTTCTTCGTCCGCTTTGAGGCAATTTGTGGCTGCTGTATTCATTTTTCATGACATATACCATTACGCTCGACGTCATTTTTGGTTGTTTTACTTCATTTTTGTTATTATGAAATAGTTTTTGATAATGGGTTGATAATGAGAGTTTCGTCACCCATTTTCCTTGCTATAATAAGAGACGTTTTACCAAGTTTGAAGTTTGTACTTTCAATGAAGTGTTGGAAAGTGGAACAAGACCGGTACGTAAAATACTTTTTATTATTTACGTTAATAAACAAGGAACCCAGCTACCATTAGCCTCTGGTATTTAATATCACGTAAATATCACCTTAATTATTATTTAGAAGGAACTGTAACCAGGTGACGCAGGTTAATGTTGCTCGGCAGTCTCCGCGGTTGCTCGGTAATCTCCGTTAGTGCTCGGCAATATCCGTGGTTGCTCCGACCCCGAAGTACCCACGGAATTGGCGCCAATGGCAGTAACTATGACTAAACCGTGTCCGGAGGGGCAGGGGTGTCAACAATAACCTTTTTACATTGATTTGACACAAGTGGAATGTTAAAATTGTGTAAACAAAATAAAATGTTGTTGCGTTGCGTTGTTACACTTTAGTAATAGTATTTAGTATAGCTTTTCTTCTTCCTGTTTTTGGTTAATGCTTCACACAGCCACACAAGTACCTTTTTAACGATTTCATTTTTGTAATATTAGTATAGTATTATCAATGTATTATAACATAAATTATAGAAATGTTAAAATTGTGTAAACAAAATAAAACGTCGCGTTGTTACACTTTAGTAATAGATAGTATGTATTTAATGATAAAAGCTCCTACCTTTTCAGCCTGGGCCTCAAGAGACTTCAGGTTGTTAGTGACGTTCTTCAGTTCCTCCTCCAGCTCAGCACATTTACTTGATGTGGTTTAATGAAGACGTAGAGAATTATTTCAATATTATAAAATTACAGAAATACAATTTTTTTTCTAAAGATAATGTTGAGCCATCTGTGAACGATGTAACTACTTACGCCTCAGCGAGCTCTGCCCTCTCCTCTGTGCGCTCCAACTCTCCTTCTACAATCACCAGTTTACGGGCCACCTGCAGTCCAACACACAATATATAAACAGATTCTATTTTTTTTCAATGACACACATTATTATTATTATTTATTATCAATGCGGCTATGATATACCTATATGAATCTCACATGATGCTGCAAATCGGAAAACCCACCTCCTCGTACTTGCGGTCAGCCTCTTCTGCGATGTGTTTAGCTTCCTTCAGCTGAATCTCCTGCAGCTCCATCTTCTCCTCATCCTTCAGGGCTCTGTTTTCAATCACCTTCATGCCCCTTCACGCACAGACACACCACAGTAGGCATAGAACACAGGAGTACACAGTTTTTAAACAAACCTGTGAGCGACTCATAGTAACTAGCTCATAATAGCAAGCGCTGATGGGCTAATTATCGTTACGAAATATTGCTATATATTGTTTGTTTTTTTTGTTTGTTTTTGTTGTACTAACTATTTATTGTCACAAGTATTTTTTCAATGACACACATTATTATTATTGTTATTAAAATTAGATTTATCATCAATGCGGCTATGATATACCTATATGAATCTCACATGATGCTGCAAATTGGAAAACCCACCTCCTCGTACTTGCGGTCAGCCTCTTCTGCGATGTGTTTAGCTTCCTTCAGCTGAATCTCCTGCAGCTCCATCTTCTCCTCATCCTTCAGGGCTCTGTTTTCAATCACCTTCATGCCCCTTCACGCACAGACACACCACAGTAGGCATAGAACACAGGAGTACACAGTTTTTAAACAAACCTGTGAGCGACTCATAGTAACTAGCTCGTGATAACAAGCGCTGATGGGCTAATTATCACATGATGCTGCAAATTGGAATTGTTTGTTTTTTTTGTTTGTTTTTGTTGTACTAACTATTTATTGTCACAAGTATCACACTTCTTTACGTAAATATTATTCTTGATTATTATCCTCTGGCTTCATACTGCTGGATTGTGAATCGTAAGACATGGCAACAAATTGCACGTGCGCGTTGCACGTGCAATTACACGTCTGCGCGTCAATATTTTATATGCAACCGGATCTTGGACTTCCTCACAGAAGTCAGCAGCAGCAGTAATGTGAATCCAAGCTCAGGTGTCCCTCAGGGTCATGTGCCGGGACCTGTGATGTTTACACATCTCAGCCATGAATGTGCCACTGAGATCTGATCCAACGTTAACATCATCTGTTGGCAACCAAGCCGATATTATACACAAATAAAACTGACTTGACTTGACTTGACTTGTCATACCAGGGGCTTCCAAATCAAACTTGACTTGACTTGACTTGGCTGGTCGTACCAGGGGCTTCCAAATCTGTGTGTGAGCATTAACAAGAAAACAAATAGAAGACACGTATCCTCCAGAACCTTCTGTCAGATGACCTTCATACATACTGAGGCGCGCACTTCATTCGCTGTTCTTAGATCTAACGCTGCTGTTCGTTGCCATTAACAATAATCGCGCTCTCCTCTCAGGCCGACTCTTCTTTTAGACTTGGCACGGCATTAGAACCACCCTGTGTGACACTAACAGGTGGCAGGAGCCCTGGTGGCAGCGGGTCTGAATTGCAAAGCAAGTTGCTTTTGTCGAGTTGTTTGTTCTTCGCTGGGAGATTGTCCTACTGATGGACCTTCAGTTCTTTCTGTTGTTATTTTGTAAACGAGTTATTCAACAAATTATCAAATGCAATATTATCAAATAAACCAGGTCTTTGGTTTGGGAGCTACTATTCAAATCACCAGGCTAAAGTGTATTGCCCCCTAGTGTTAAATTGCTACTTCACACCTTTTTAAGTCTTCACCTTTTTAACATTGAAGATGACTGTGTGTGGGCTAGTAGGTCAAAGGTCAAACAGGTTTGAAATTTTCCGCCACTCGATCACTTCTGATGTACATTTCCGCCATACCAGGGGTGTCAAACATATGGCCCACGGGGCAAAACGTGCCCATTGGGAGGTTCACTCTGGCCCACTTGATGCCCGCGGGGCAAAACGTGCCCACTGGGAAGTTCAATTTGGCCCACTTGATTAATTTAGTCTTGGACATAAATAATTATGGGTGAGAAAAGACCACACCGCTTGTTGTCAGGTCTCTGAGGGCCTAGCTCAGTGATGTCAAAAATACGGCCTGCAGGCCAAATCTGGCCCACTATGAAGTTCAATCTGGCCCACTTGATGAATTTTGAAAGTGAAAAAATTGCGCAAACACGTTATTTTGGTGATGTTTTGTCAAATTATACTTCTTTAAATGTGATTATTTTTTAATATACTTGTACTTATTTGCATGAAAACATCATCTTATTGTTATTTATAGTTAATTATGTTATGAATGTAGCGGTCCGACCCACTTGATATCAAAACAGGCTGTATGTGGCCCCTGAACCAAAATTAATTTGATACCCCTGCTCTGTACACATGTTTTTATTTTGTATAATATAGTTTTTCTAATACATTTTATTATGCTAAGATAATGATAGAGTAGATGGAAACCACACCTCTCGCTCTCATCCGCAGCCTTCTCGGCCTCTTCCAGCTTCTGCAGGGCTGTGGCCAGTCTCTCCTGGGCTCGGTCCAGCTCCTCCTCTACCAGCTGGATACGTCTGTTCAAGGAAGCGACTTCAGCTTCAGCCTGGATTGGAAAACACAGAACTGCTGAGTTGCTGGCACCAGCATTTTTCATACAATACCCTGATCCTCATTAAAATTAATTTAAAAAAAAAAAAATTCGCTGCTCTGCTGCCATCTAGTGACTGGAGGCTTGTTTATCATTCCATTCCAATACATTTAGCAGACGCTTTTATCCAAAGCAACTTACAATTTGATACAAAAATACATAAATAATAATAAGTAGTATTAGTGTATAGAGATTTAATACGTTTTATTCCAGCATGAATAAAGACACAAAGATACTGAAAGTCCCATCTTAGGCCCCATGTGACATCTCAACGTGCCCCCGCCCCTCAGGGGGGGGGCGTGCCCCACTATTTAAGAAACACTGTGTTAGGTTGGGTCTAAGTTGAACCAGAATCCCCAAGTCTAAGTTACAGATGAGATGATTGAGTCAAGTCCAAGTCAGTTTAAAGACAATTCAGTGTTTAGAGCGGGGAGTCAAACATGCGGCCCGTGGGGGACACTTCAAGACTGTAATGTTTTTTTTAAAATTTTGAAAGTGAAACACTTCAAGACTGTGATGTTTTTTTTTTAAATGATATTTCATCAAATATGAATTAATATTGTCTAATACACCTGTATTTATTTGCATGAAAGCAAAGGGTCAAAACATGGACTTATTGTTATTTATAAGTAATTATATTATGATTAGACTGGTCTTATCAGGACTTATCAGGCTGAACCACAATGTGTTTGACACCCCTGGTTTAGAGTTTTCCAACTAACCGAACCTTACATCAAGTCAGATTTGTTAACGCCACGGTTTAATGTCGATAGCGCTTCCAGACGCTTGTCTCTGTGTACTGTACTGCTATATTCATCAGGACATCCTCTTTGGGCGACACAATGTCCAGTATGGACAGCTGTCCTCTGTAAATGCTGTAATTAATTCTGCGGCAGTGACTCAGCTAGCTCAGGATTAACTCAGCTGTGTTGCGGGATAAAAAGGGCTTCGGCATTTTTTTTCCTTTTTGTCGTATGGTGACTGGTCTACACCGTAGTTTACCATAGTGGTTAAAACTGTTGTACAAATCTTTTTTTTTATCCTCCAAATTGTATTCACCGCATCTTTTCTTTTAGTCGAATGAAAATCAAAGCAGTAACCCTCCCTAAAAAAGGATGGTCGATCTCAAAGGAATGAATGATGTACCTGAAATGGACTCTGACCATTGTTAAGCTCACAGTCAAGGTTGGGCGGCAGGCATCATAGCCAAAAAAAGGGCCCTGAATCCCCTCGACAGCTGAAGGGGGAGGAGGGGGGCGGGGGGGTACAATGCAGGGCATGATGGGAATGGAATGCAAGGGAGATGCGGTGAGTCGAGCCAGGGTTGGTTTACACTGGCATTATCAAAGCCTTAAACAGAGCAGCAGTTTGAGCCTCGCGCCGTGCTGCGCTATTACAATAGTAGTAGCGAGCGATATGTGCATCAACGGTCGTATGGGAGCTGTAATAAAATGACGAAATGAAAGCGTTTTCCTCGCGCTGTACCTGAGTATCTCGTGAAGGTGTGGTGCGGTGTGATCGTTATGGTATAAGATAAGAAGCCAGGCTTAAAGAACAGGATGTTACCAACCCTCGGGTTTAGCAAGAACGTGGTGTAAATTTCGGGTTTTCCAACGTCCACTTACGTCAGCAGCCTTCTTGTCCGCCACCTCCAGCTTCTCCTGAGCATCCTTCAGGGCCTCCGAGTATTTGTCCAGCTCGTCCTCTGTCCCCTTGAGCTTCTTTTGCATTTGCAGGAGTTCGTCTTCATGCTGTTGGAATGGAAGATCGGAGGATCGTTTTTTGAAATTTTGAAACAGGGATTTAGATAGATTTTGTTTTGAATTGAATGCAGGAACTGTAGCGCAAAAATCCGACCGTGTTGATATTTGCAACTTTACTCAAAATGGGATTTAAGATTTATTCTTAAACACTATAAAGCCCACTATATGGAGATTTAATATAAATATAACTGCATTTAACTTGACCCGTCTTTCTCATTTTTAGCCTATACGTACAGTACTGCATATACTGTGTATTTAATTATTGTTTTGAGTGAATTCCCATAGAAATCTTCAAAAAAAATGTTGAATTTGTATAGAGAATTTATATTATAGAAATTCATTGAAAAAACATATTTATGTTATAGATATTAATTGTACTTAATAGTATAATTTATCAATTATACTATTGAAGTATCAGTATCAACCAAGTATTTCAATATATTTTTATTATTATTATTGTTATTATTTTTATTACACATAGACATCGTCGTAAATACAGTGTAAAAAAAAATCTGGTTTTGGCTATAAAAAAGTTTTTTTGAAAAGGTCATCCCTTTTCCCCCTGTTTACATAAGTAAAAAGGTCTTTTTTTTCCCCATTTCCTGTATTGACCTACGCTGCCCATAAACATCTAACTCTTAACAGCAGCTGCATCTGCATCTCATACAACAACATAAATATTCATTATATATCTTTTTTTTTTAAAAAGCCATTTGTTATATATATCATTTTATTTACAGAATCTACATTCCAAATCACATCTACAAGTGACTGAGTTCCCCGGGCCTGAAACCTGGCATTTGAATTGTTCACAGTCTGAATAGATGTGTTATCACAGTGGGTATCAGTTGAGCTCGGCAAATGTCAGGTGGATAGAGTTATAGTGGGCATTAACGTGTCGTCTGTATAAGGACGGACACATGTCAGATGTACTCTATTTATATCCCGGTGACAATTTAAATATATTGTTCAAATTCTATTAACGCATTAGCGGTATATTATTAACACGCAGAGTCACTGAAAAAAAATGTCGTCTCAAAATACGACTAGTCATAAATGTAGTCCTTTTGATGCATAGTTAAAAAAAATTATAGTGATAAAACATTTGAATTTCATTCATTTTTATAGAAATGTATTCATTTGAAAATTTAACTACAGTTCCTGAAATATCCACAAGGGGGAAAAAAAACAAACGATATTGACAAAGACAAACATCAGTCCGTCCTCATGCAGTATAACAATGGGATTGTGGGACAGACAGTCCATGACCCACCTGCTTGCTTCTGTCCTCAGCTGCCTTCTTGTCCGCCTCTGCCTGTTCAGCCTGGTCTAACGCGTTCTCCTTGTCCAACTTCAGCATGAGCATCTTCTTCTTGATGGCCTCCATTTTGGCTGTGTTTTTTTTTTTCTCTCGCAGAAACAAAAGACAAGAAGACAAGAGAGTGCAAGGACAAACGGCCTGAGAGCCCGGTGAACTGGCAGAGACTCCAAACTCTGACAAAGACACAGGGCGAGCATTTATACTCCAGACGAGGAGACACTCCCATCGCTTTAAACCCCTGAATCCCCCTGTGCTCTCCACGGTGACACCAGTGGACCGACACTTTAACAGCACATGTATGAATGTAGATACTTTATTATTATCATTATTTTTAGACAAACCTTTGCTAACTTTTATTTGTTTTGTTTTGTTGTAAGTGGATCTTTAAATGATTTTTTTTTAGCCAAGTTTGATTTACGATATGTTCAGGGTTATCTAGATCTAGGTCAAACTCGAGGTCCGCGGGCCAAATGCGGCCCACAAAATAGTTTTGTGTGGTCCGCGGGAGCTTAAAAAGAGCTTATAATAAAGTCCATGTTGTGTTTATTATTACATTACATTATGGGTTAGTTACAGCTATACCAGGCGTGGGCAAACTATGGCCCGGGGGCTGAATGTGGCCCACTTGAATTTTTAATACGGCCCGCCGAACTTGTTCAAATTATGTTATTAATTTACGTTTACAAAACATGAATGCATTCACCCTGCTCCCCCCTGGGTTAATCATTACGTTTACAAAACATGAATGCATTCAGCAGACGCTTTTATCTAAACAAGCGACAAGAAGAAGGTTAACAACCCAGCATGTGGTTCCTCTGGGAATCATCTAGTTACCGGTTCTGGTGCCCATGTTTCCCCAATAGATGGCGTCGGAAAGGCTAAAAAGCATTTTAGCCTTACATTTTTACATGTAATAAATCTTCACACAAACGCGCCATCTATCTGCTCCTAACCCGGTCCACCTGTCCATTGTAGGACACAATGTGGCCCACAAGTCCAAGAGATTGCCCACACCTGATCTGTCAACAGTTACAGTTACCGGCCCTTTAAGAGGAACTGTATGTGAACTATATGTGGATGGAAAATGTATTAACTAGTTGGTAAAAAAATGTTGTCTACCTAAAGATTGAGTGTATTTTTTTTCGGACCCAAAAGGGGGGGGGGTGGGTGATTTTTGATTGTTGGCGCAGAGAGGGCGGAGCCATGAAGACGAACAACCTCTTTGATAGACTTGAAGGATGAAGAATCTGAGGCATACAAGCAGCGAATCATCTGCATACAATGACACTCCTTCCTACCTCCGTGCCGTGACTGTACCATATATATTATAGTATTCTCTCAATGATTTAGTTTCGCTTTGTATCGTTAATATAACAATTACACGACATTGTCTGAGGTCAGTCTGTTTCCCTGCTCCCCCCTGTGTTAATCACGTGTCACCTGCTGCTCTGTGTGTGTGTGTGTGTGTGTGTACCTCTCTCCCTCACTCTGTCTCTGTCTGGTCGATGTCCGACGTCGCTGAGTGGTTCTGGTACGGGTTCTTCCTCACGCTCCTGAGTTCCTGCCTTCCTGCTCGTTCCTGCCGGGCCCTGATATCCAGTAAGTTGGAAGTGTTTTAATATGGACTGTTTAAATCAGGGGTGTCAAACTCATTTTGGTTCACGGGCAGCATACAGCCTAATTAGATGTCTAGTGGGTCCCTTTGTTTTCATGCAAATAAGTGTATAAATAAGTGTATTTGCTATTTATTGTTATTATTATTATCAAATGAAAAGCTTGTTGAGTGAGGAGAGGAATTTCTTTAACACTCACACAAAACCTCTTACTAGGCATTCGATGAAATATATCTTTATTATTATTATTTATTCAGATCTAACTAAATAGTAATATTTTTGCAAACAATTTCCTGAACATGAAGTGTTTGTGTATTTTCCAAAATCATCAAGCGGGCCGGATTGAACACCCTAGTGGGCCGGTTTTGGTCCGCGGGCCGTATGTTTGACACCGCTGAGCTAGGACCTCAGAGACTGCGTTTTTTTTTTTTTTTTAGCTCTGACTCGACAACACGAGAGGTGTGTAACTTTTTCACCCATAATTATTAATAAGATGAACACGCCGTGTCGAGACTGTGTCCTAGCAATACAGTGCGCTAGTATGAGATGAAGCACAATGCAAAACTGCCTTTGCATGGGAATGGGAATGCCTCTGCTGTAACCTTATTCCATCACCTGGCCTCCAGTGCCTATAACTGGATTTCTCCTGGGCATCAGTGCGACATAGAGCCAGAGGGGCGATGGTGACAGTTATTTTCCCCTCTACGCAACAGTTGGGTTATTAATAAACATCATTTGGCTGACATTGTCTACGAGGATTAGAATAAGAGTCTGTGTCCACCGCCATGGACACAAATACATGTAGACATCACCACATAGAGAAAAGAGAAGTGAAAGACTGAGAGCATTAACTTGGCTTTGGTAATATTGTTTTTTTGTTTTTGTTTTTTTTTAAAGGAAGCCCAGAGAATGACTCACTGATTATATATCTGGATATATTGAAGTTATTATTGAATATTATATTATTGAATAATACTGCTAACATTACTAATAAGGGCCTGGGAGAGTGTGGAATACATAGGGCAAAATTAGCCTTAGCTAAACTCCTTAGCTAAACAGGTACAATTTGGCCTCAAGCTAGTTTAAAGTTAGCCAAGTACTGACACCAGAAGAGAGAAAACACTATTCAAAATACTAGAAAAATACCAGACGAGTTGCTGTGTCTATGACACTGAATATGAAATTAATATTAAACAAATTTAAAAGCTGTTGAGCTGTAGCGTGGCAAGCTATTAGCAATTAGCAACAAGTTAGCTTGTTGACAAGACCAGCAGCTGTACCTACCTTCCAGCTTCCTGAGTTAAAAAAATAAACTTGGTTTACCTGGTCAATAAAGGGTAAACATCTGGTAACTACATAAATAAAACTGTAAAATTATAGAAAAATATAGGATTAAAAAGAAAAGGTATTTGGACCTATGGCTGATAACTGTCTATGATGACTAACCATGGGATATTTGTAGACAGAATATTAGCTTTATATGTGGCAGTTGTTTGGAATACTGCATGTATTAATGAAATACTGTTTTTTTTTGTGGCATCATTGAGTGACTACATTATAGCGTTTGTTTAATATCTGGCCTCAAATAGAATGTATAGATTTTTTTTCCTGTTATTGGTACCCAGAACTGCCTCCAGTGCCCCTAGTGTTCTACTTATCCAACACAAAAATGTTATATTCACATGCACACCAAGTGTAACACAAGTGTTTATTTTGAAAAACATACAAGTATGCAAAAACAGATGTCATAAAACATACTGTTAGTAACGTCTCAATCTGTTGTCTTTATTTTATTCTTTACAAAATCTCCATTTCAATATGACACCCATAGAATTTTACAGCTCAGAAATACGACAGTATCAGAAAGGTACACGTAGCATCGGAGGCTAAATACTGTAGACATCCCAGTTCTTTAATTGCCTTTGGCAAATTAGATACAAATGAAAGTGTTCAAACATCTTCCAAGCACATTTCACCGAACAAAATTTAGAGAAGGTTTGATAAGGATAGATAGATAGATAGATAGATAGATAGATAGATATGGCTCTTTCACACGTTATCACTTAAAACAAAAAGCAAAAACATGATACAGTTTTATTTAATTTTCCATTATTATTAAATCCTTTTGAAATGTGTTATTGACAGAAAAAACAGAAAAAAATATTATATATTTTAAATAATATATACTTTAAACCAAAGCAAGCCTACATGCTTCTCTATATGCATACAACGTATTATTAGCACACACACGGCATATAGGTATAGCTCTTTACGATGCCGACATGCTAAACTTCCTGTCACATCAAATACCTCTGTACACAAGCAAGTCGTGTTAGCCCAGCTCGTTTTGTGCCTTTGTGCGAGGTCGAATGAAAAAAAAAAAAAAGTGATGTGATTGGCCCCCTTTAAAATGTAGACATGCTGCGTAGCTGTAGTGTTTTTCTCCGGTTTTTTTTTGTGCTGGGTTTTCACTTTCCCCCCTAGCCTGCAGTACAACGGCTGCATCCATGTCTTACATACATACATTCTAGGTTCCAAACAGACAGCAGTAAATAATATAGAGCACGTGCTGGATATGTCACGAATACATTGCAAGGCCACAGAAAGTCTGTCACATTTACATCTAAGTTCAATTAAGATTGTCCAATGACCAAACAACCTAGTTGTGAAACTGAATGTAGACTGTTTCTAGAATGTTCCGCAGCCGTTATGTGTGTCCTTTACAGTATTTCGCATCGGTTCCCTAATGTTCTCCTGTAAGTGCTTCAACTAAGAAGCCTAAAATGCTAAAAGTTGTTTCTACGCCATCTATTGGGGAACTAAAGACATTGCAGGAAAAAGGCAGAAGTACAGTATAATGATAATATAAATTAATAACATTTTCGGCGGGACGGATTATTTATTTAACTTCTTTGAATATGATTATTTGCCACCTAGCCTGCAGTACAACTACTAGTAGTACTTTTACTATAAAATGATTATTATTCAGTCTTTATTAAATAGTATTACAAATACAAACCCCAACGATCAGACAAAATATTATTCCATACATCTGTTAAATTAAATCATATATATTTAAATGCTATTCATCTTCCAGCTGTTAAGGATATAGGCCAAAGCGTCATTTGTGCAAATAAGATAAAAGTGCACTTTGATTTGCACAAGGTAAAATAAGCACAGCACACTAAACACATGTTACAAGGAAATTAAACGTCAGTCAACGTTACCGTTAATAAGATATTATGGTTACGTGCTATAAATGTTATCGAGATCCATTCGTTTCATTCGAGGAGCCCTTTATAATAAAGCGGTATCGTGATATAAAAACTATTCTAAGCTCGTTAGGATTTCAACGAAAAACAAATCACTTACGCAAGCTATCTGCTCGAAGGCTGCTAAATAAATACGAAGACTTGCAGAGAAGACATTGTAGATTCAGATGTAGGGCGAAGAATTAAACATCCTCCAGGATATCTTGAAGATCTGACAAAAACAAGCAAGTCACAAATATTTATGTTAGCTTTAAATAATAATATCAAAATTGTATCTTGACTTTGATTAAATTCCACTTCTAAAAATTAAATTAATCAAACGACGCCAGCTATCGTTGCATAGCAAAGACATTGCCCATAGATAGCTGCAATTGGCTCCAGCACCCCCTGGTGGCTGGATTTAGTGCCCACAAGTGACATCTCCTGGAATCACGAATATCCAAAGCTGAAATTGTGTTAAAATAATAGCAATAAATGAATGTCACTTATGGAATAATCGTGCTTAAAGTTTCAACCTTTGGAGCTTTTGGATGCTGTCCCATCATCATCATCGTCATCGTCGTCATCGTCGTCTGATGTCATGTCTACTTCTATATCACTGCTGTCCTGCAGGCAATCTGATGAGTGGTTAGGGTCTCGTCTGTTCTTTCTGTTGTCAGCAGAATTCCTGACATCACCGTGTGGATGCTGAGACGAAACCAAAGAAGCCGAACAGCGTAACAATACAACAATAACAAATAATAATAAATTAATTTTCCAAAAGACATACAAAAATAT